TTTCCTATTTTGTGTCTTTTTTCATAGTATTCAGACAAACCAACATTTTTTCACAACAAAAATGTCGAACAGTGAAAAACAACAATGTGATAGTATGATGAAATTCAATATGAGAACACATCAATGACACATTGCTTGCAGCAGCCTGCCATTCTGCATATATATGTGTCTCTTTCATTTTGAAGTTTGCAGAGTCTCTTTACTGCACTAACCAACTGTTCATGCCATCTCTTAGACTGAAAGTCTGTATTTCATTTGTTGCTGATTTCTTGAAACAAGAAAAAATGCCTCAAATCTGCTAGCTCTCCCCTCTGATAGCCAGGGGAACAAGCGGCAGCAGCTGGACCCTAATGTAGTTTAAAGATGAAGGAGAGAGGGAAAAGAGGCATCACTGTTGTTCCTGCGTTTTTGCTGTTTCTCTTCCCCAAAGGTATCAAAGCAGGAGCCTCCAGCCCCTTTTGGCTTCCACCTCCTCTTCTTTCCCTGTTCAGCAACCTCCCAAGCCCTGCAGTAGAACCCTTCTTCTTATTTTCTCCTTAGTAGCTCCCTGTACGACCCTCAGACATCAGAGAGGGAATTTCCAATAGGGTTCAGTGCCTCCTTCTTAGGTACAGTGGGCCTGTTCCAAAGCTCATTGATGTCAACAGAAGGACTCCCATTAACTGTAGGGGACTTTGAATTAGGCCCAATAAGAGCACCCCTACCTTTCCTCTCTTCCAAAGACAGAATCACCCACAAGGGGCCTGAACAGGCAAGCAGATCTGATAGTATGGACTCTCAGGACTCCATGCAGGTGCCAGAATCTGCATTAGCCAGGAGAAAGCCAGGCAACATAACTAACAGTTGGGCCTTTAATAATTGATCTTGACACCTGTGTTTAGTATTGGCAATGGTTTCTATCTGTAAATACAAATGACTGTCTACACTGGGAGAAAAAGTAGCTGCAGTTTGTTTCGAGGAAGCACCACTGTAACATTATATACTGTATTTTTTTAAATTAAAAAAGGAATCTCTAAAATTATTTTTATTTCTTTATTTTTAACCTTTGAATAGAAAGAACGGGAGAAGGGTTCTAATCTGGCATTCATGTTTCGACTACCTTTTGCTGCTGGAAGGGTTTTCAGCATCAGTATGTTGGATACGCTTCTGTACCAGGTACTATCTATGACAATGCATACTGTTCTCTAATACATAAACTTCCTCATTGCATGGATTTTTTATATGTAACTGTTAAATGAACCACTTTGTAATATTTTATTGTATTCTGACTGATGTTTTATGCATCAGGTTACATTTGCTTTACTTTTAATATATGAAAAACACACTGAAGAGTTATATTTAAAGTAGTGTGAGGAAAAACTTTATTTTCTTTACAATAATATTAAAATTCTATAATTGTTTTAGTAAAATATTAACATTTTAAAGACATTATTATAAGTGTGTAATCCTCATGAGATTAGACAGATGATTCTGAAATAAGGGCTTCATACAGTGGGATAGTCTGAATGTCCGGGAATCCACTCACACAGAACTGGTTGCAGGACTAGGGTTACATAGGGTCAAGTTCTGGTGGGCCCTGATTTCTGAGTGCACCAGGAAACTCATCAGAAGAGGAAAAAAGAAAGGATCATTTACAACACTCAGAAGTGTTCCAATCCAATGCAAAAAAGAAAAAATCCGATAAAGGAACAAAAATAAAATCCAGTTTCCATGAGCGTTACAAGAGGTGATGCCAAGGTAGAGCCAAGAGGTCATTTGTATGCCCTGGATGTTAATGTCTGTTTACTCACTAACCCAACAGTGATCGTAACACACTATGCAACTTTCTCCTGCTCTTCACACTGGAAGATTGCACCTGGAGCTTTTCACAACTGAAGTACAAGACACATTAATAACGCATACTGTATGCAAGCACCCATCTGGATTATGATATTACTTACACAGAGATTTTTGCTCGATAAAGTCAGATCTCAGTCCTGCAAATCACTGACTTTAACTCAGCTGAGCAATCCCACTGAAACCAATAGAACGATTTACTGAGCGACGTCACATGTGTTTGCTGTAACAAGCCCGTAGTTCAGAACTGTGCCACACTTATTTACATGAAATGATACGTTACTCCACATACCCATGTGAAGTGAATTGTGGTAATAGAGTCTAGCTCTAATAGAGCAGTCAAAGTGAAGTTAACTTAACGGTGATGTGACCCCAAAAACTCAGTTTTTCAGAAATGAGTTTGCGTGCACATGTATTATTACCTCTAATCGCAAACCTAGTTTCAAACAGAGCAAATAGATAGTGTGAACAGCAACTTCCTGAGGCTAAGTATATCTGTCAAACCTTTTCAGTACAGGAGGTAAGCAGGTATGTAGCTTCAAAAATATAATACAGTAGAAGAAAACGAAAACATTGAAAACTATTCATCAATTGCTGCATATTTTGGAAATAAATTTACTTACAAGAGATAGTCTAATCCTGCTCGAGAATATGAACACTGAATTTGGTATTATTTTACAAGGGATAGCTGAATGAGGACACTCTTTTTCAGGAAAATATTTTTGTTCTTAATTCCTGCCATTTCAGTGTTTTATATTTTCTGTTATGCATGTTCATACAGAATTCTCTCTTTGTACAGAATGCTATTACTGGATGGAAACAATTTACAGTCAATAGAGCTGGTTTGGAATTTTTTGACAAAACATTTTTCATAGAAAAAACCTGATTTGTCCAAACGAAAGCTCTTCATATCTTTTTGATGAAAATATTATTGGCAAGGTTTCTGAGCTCCAGGAAGGAATTTCAAATCAGGGGGCAGGGAAGGAGATGAGAGAAGCAACAGCTTAGTGGTGAGGATACCCATCTCGTACCTGCCCCAGATCAGGAACAGATCTCTGTTTTTGGCGGGGCAGGGAAGGGAGGAACAAGGGGTTAAGAATATCCCAGTTTAGTTTAAACTGAATAAAGGGTTGTTCTAGATAATATGTAGCCCTGCCATGAGCGTAGGGGACTGCGCTAGACTGCATTAGACTCGAGAGCCCTTCCAGTACTATGATTCTATAGACTTAAGCTAAATCAAAATAAGTCTAATTTAAATCAAGATAAGACAATGCACACAGTCTTTTGCACCTGCTTAGCTAAACTAGTTTAACCATAACACGTGTTAAATTAAACTAGTGCAACTTCTGGTGTAAACAAGCTGTAAGATTAACCTGCAGTAAATGCCATAGACTCATGTCTGCAACATTGGCCATCATGATTATATTGAGTCTATCTTGATTCTGTCAGACTTGTTACAATAGAAGGTGAGCATGGATAACTCTCTGTGGGTTGGGTGCAGAAAGGAGCTCGATGTAGGGGGTTGGGATGCAGGAGAGGGTGTGGGATCTGAGATAGAATTTGGGTGAAAGAAGGGGCTGTGACCTGGGGCAGGGTTCCAGGAGGCAGTATGGGTGAGGAGAGGAATCTGCCCTGTGGGAGGAGCATTGGAGGGGGTGCAGGGTCTGGGAGGGAGATGTGACCATGGGTAGGGGGATGCAGAGTATTTTGCCAGTGACCTGGGACAAGGAGTTAGGATGCGGGAGGAGCTGGGATGACATAGGCAGGATCTGGCCAGGAGGCACTTAGCTAGGCAGCTCCTGGCTAGTGCACAGCAGGACCCTCAGGCAGGCAGGCTTCCTGCCTGCTGCAGCCTAAGGGCTCAGAGCAGCTGGCTGCTCCCTGTGGTCCTCTATGAGGGAGAGGCTTCACATACTGCCTCCACCCCAGCACAATCTCTCAGCTCCTATAGGTCAGTTCCCATTGGCTGTCCTGCCCTCAGCTCAATCTCTTAGCTCCTATTGGCCAGCCGGCCAGTGGGAGTTGGAAGATTGTGCGGAGGGCTAGGGCAGTGTGCAAAGCTTCCCCTTCCCTCCCTGGCACAGAGAGGTAGATGGAGCAGCCCGTCATTCTGAGCCCTGGAGATGTTCCCTGCCTGAGAGTCCAGCCCACAGCCCATACCTTGCCTGACCAGGTCTAGTTTGACCTCTGGTATAACACACATAATAGAATTTCACTTATTTACCTCTGCACTGAGCCACCCAGTAGCTTGTGTGCCAAAGCGTTTCTTCCATGAAACATCTTGTTTTCGTATGAAGATCTGGAGAGAGAGAAAACCCACCTCTTTCCTTGGTAGTTTGTTTCAACAGCCTCATTTAAAAGATGCCTCATTTACAGTTTAAATTTGTCTAGTTTTACATTCTAGCTCTGGGTTCTTTTTATGTCTTTCCCCTCTTAATTAAAGAGTCCTTAATGCCTTGTGTTTTTACAAGGAAAGAATGATCAGCGGTGAATAAATACATTTTGGTTCAGAATTCACACATAGCACTGCTGACCTGCTTACCTGTGCACTTAAAGTTTATTTTTCTCTCTCTCTCTGTTTATTTTGCAGTCATTTGTGAAGGATTATATGATCTCTATCACAAGACTACTGTTGGGACTAGATACCACACCAGGATCTGGATTTCTTTGCTCGGTAAGGGTTTTTTTTTTCTTTTAAAAGATGATTAAATGGTATGATAAGAAGTTCTGTAGTCTCCTGAAAATGCCACTGCTCTTTTCATATTGTGATTTCTTTTATGAGAGTTCAAGCAAGTCCATTATTTTCTTTATCTTTAGAGTAGGTGTTGGGAAAAAATAGGTGGAAAAGTAAACCACTTTGCTTACTTGCAAAACAAAACAAACTTTAAAAGATATGTAAAGAAAAAAAGTCAGAGAAAAGAACTGCAGACATTATGACAGTGTTCAGAATTTCAATAAAGATTTTAAAAAAACCTCCATAGGTTGGCTATCATATGTTTTTGCATGGAGTAACAAACCTTTAAACAAGCTGAATTGAAATAATATGAACAGTACCTAATTTCATGAAAGTGATTAGCAATGTAAAGCTAAAATGGGCTATGACTTTCTCCTGTGCTACACCACTCGTTTACCTGTTGGTAAAATTAGGATAAAATTGAGCACTAAATATCAGATAAAGGTGGAAGTTAAGGGTTAGTTGAGTTTCACATGTTGCATTTCCTGTTCCTAAGAAGTCAGAGGCTTTGTTGTTTATTAGATATTTCAGTATTCCCAAATTATTCATAAGTAACATAGCAACTCCTTTGGACAAGGCTGATCTCTAAACCAACAAGGACATATTTGTACAAAGCATTTGATAGTCTTAAAAGGAAAAGAAAATAGCATTAATTGGCCCAGGGGGTATATAAATAATATATTCAGCCCAGTAGCCTAAATGTGAAAGAGAATTCACAACATGAATAAGCTGAACTGAATCTGAAAATTCTGAGTTTACTGTAAGAAGCTGCAATATTGTTCAATACGTTCAATACTGTCAGTGCTTCAGAGGATGAGGACGTGATCCAAAACTTCCTGATATCAACAGGAAACTTTCCACTGGGCTTTGTATCGGGCCTTCGGGGCATCAGTTCTGCAATCTGTGCCTTACATCAATGGTTCTCATTGAATTCCATAGGATCAATCATGTAAGAAAGGGCTTACAAGACTGGATACTGGGCTTAACAGAGCTATAAGAACTTTGTTTAAAAAGTTTATTTAAAGTTAATTTAAGTCCAGGGGACTGGACTTGATGGCCTTCTAAGGTCTCTTCCAGTTCTATGATTCTATGATTTAACAATACTTGCCCCCACCAGCTGTTAAACAGGATGCAAGTTGATTTACAATATCTTAAATTGGACCCACATTACTTGTATCCAAATGTCTTCACTTTTTCAGTCATAATTCTTAAATTGTCATAGAAGATGTGCAAGAATTTTCAAATTCATTTTATATGCCATTTTTGTTTAATAGTGTTACTTTGATTTTTCAAAGAACTAGGTTGCTGTAACAGATAAAATAGATACAGTTCTCTTTAGTCTCAACTCAGATTACTTCTTCTTATGCCTCTTCAGCTTTCCATGACACTTTATTAGTGCTGCCAGATATTTTACTTTTCTTTTACTCTCAGATCTAACACTGGAGATTAAGCAGCAAGTAAAAGAATTTCCAAAGAATTTTAAAACTGTGTCTGAGAGGTTCCCTTCTAAAGCACGCAGGCCTTTGCTTGGGAAAGTCCTTAGGAAGAAAAAACAAAACAAAACATAAAATAAAAATTAGAACCTGACTTTCTGTTGTTATTCCAGATGAAAATCACAGAAGATGATCTATGGATTAGGACATATGCCAGACTCTACCAGAAACTTTGTTCTTCAACAGGAGATATCCCTATTGGAATCTATAGAACTGAATCCCAAAAACTTACAACATCTGAGGTTTGCCTGCTTGAATATACCTATTTCTTGTCTGGATAATCCAAACCACACAGTAACAAATTCATACACTGATAGTGTAATATACAGACAGCAGAGGTACAAATGGTCCAGCATGGCACGCTGGATCAGCAAGTTATTTTTGGCCAGTTTTGCATGCTGGAAAGAGTCCCTGCAGGCCAAACTCAGTCCCTACACTGCCGTGCCTCTGTATGCAGAGCAGAGACCTGAGGGGCAGGGCTGGGAGTGATAAGGCAGCTGAAGGAGATGACAGCATTCTGCTCCTTTCTACACTGCCCCTCCCAACAACTGCTTCCCTTCCTCCCCCCAGACCTGTACACAACCATGTCAGCTTTGTGGAGGCGGGAAGTTCTGTTCTTTTTCCCTTTAGGAGGGGCTATGGAAAAAGGAGCAGAACTCTCTGGAAGCTACTTCAGCTGCTGGATCACTTCAGCTGCTGGATCACTCCAGCCCCCTTCCACCACGTAATGTGAGATGGAGAGGGGAGGGGAGGAGTATGAGGGTCATGGGCTGGGAGCAGAGAGGGGCCATAGGGGGTCACTTGGGTGGTGGGCCTTCCCCCTCCATTATTGGTAAGAACTTTTGTCTTCTTGCACCACAGATATATAGTTACATGAGTCATATAGTACTGTATTGACTCTAATAAATTTTTAATCAAAGAGGAAATGTTATATAATACCATAGCTGTTGCCTACCATGCTGTTTCAAGCAATCATGCCATGTAGTAGTAAATGTATTCTTTTCATTTAGTAGTAGATAAACAAAGGGTGATACATGTCCAAAACTCTAAACCTGTACCTGGAGAGAGATCTGCATGGTGCCCCACTGACCTCAATGGGGTGTGGGCACGCCTTAAATCAGATGTAAAATGAGGAGTAAAGTTAGTGAACAGGGTTACACACTATAATATTGGCTCTTCCTGAATATTAAAGGTTGGCTTTTTTAGCATCCTAGTTACTAAAATTCATAGTAAATGTATATTATAAGTAATGGGTATTAGCTTTGCAGAAAGCTTGCTACTGGCAAATGCTGGGGAAGAGAAAGTTGGACAAGGGGGAGAGAGGCTCACTGCAGTGATTCTTGCTATATGATTATGTCATCCTCAAAATTCTGGTTCCACAAATGTCAATTATTACATTGGTTTTGATTAACATAGTTGATAGTGTTTCTCATAGAAGAGGTTACCGACATAGGAGTCGAGAGAAGTATGTCTTAACACCAAAATAATCAATCATTTTCCACTTGTCAAAACACAGGAGATGCTAAACTTATAGAAACAGAAATGCAATAGATGTTTAAAGCTGGATTTCCTGCTACAGATTGCAGTAGGCTCCTGCAATACTGAGATTTCACTTTTTTCTTAAATATACTTCTTAACTGTATATAGGAAAGTGATTATTAATAATCAGGTACATGTGGGAAAGACAAGAAATTAAGGTTGAAAACTGAAACTCATTCTTGGGTACAGGCAGTCCCCGGGTTACGTACAAGATAGGGACACAGGCAGTCCCTGGGTTACGTACAAGATAGGGACTGTAGGTTTGTTCTTAAGTTGAATTTGTATGTAAGTCGGAACTGGTACATATTGTAGGGGAAACTCTAGCCAAACATTTCTCCAGAGCTCAGCTTTATTCTCCCACACCTCACTTCCCTCAGTCCTTTATTCTCAAGCTGAGGTGTCTGCTGAGAAAAGCCGCTCCGTGTCTCCCTGGTCTGCTGGGGGGGAGGAGGCAGGGGGCACTAGCTTCGCGTCTCCCTGGTCTGCTGGGGGGAAGCAGCTAGTGCGGGGTTGCCTCACCCCGTTTGTAAGTAGGGAGCCGATGTTAGTCGGATCCATGTAACCCGGGGACTGCCTGTATTCCTCAGTGAGTCTGAATATTACTGGAGCCTATTGCAGTCTCTATCATGTATACAGACACACTGAAAAACAATTTCAAAAATGTCTTAGAAGCACAACTCTCAATATCCAAATGTATGTACAGACACATGCAATCTGTTAACATTTTCTAATGAGGGTGCCAAGAAATAGTCCAAAATATGCCAAATCTGTTGTTAATCATCTATGGTACAATGCAAGGTATGTCATGTAGAAAGGGATTTCTGAAGAAGCAAATATTGTTATAAGATGGGGCGGGGAGTGATATATGGGAGGAGTGAAGAACTTTATTTAATATTCTATGATGCCTGGTACGTTTTGGCTACTTAAACATGGTAAATCCAAGTTTAAGACTGAGTTTCTCAGAGATATACGTAATGTTTATCCAAATATCCCTGGTTTTATAAATTGAAATGAATAAGTAAAAGACATTGGCCTGATTTTCAAAGGTGCTAACAATTCAACATCAGTGAGAAGTCTGGGAGCTCAGAACCTTTGAAAATCTAGGCCATATTCTGAAATGTCTAAATATGGATTTGGGTGTCTTGCAGTAGTCACACAACTTTGAAAATTCTGGCCATATGATTCCAGATATAGCTGCAGAGTTCTGGAAGTGAATCACTAGTATAATAGACATTGTCTTGTAGTATTTTCAGTTGCCCAGGTGTAGATATCTACAGGTAGGGATTTCTTCTATGACTTCTACAGGTTGCTGTAGTAGTCTTCAGTGCAGTATTCCCAGATTTATTTAAATCTTTATGTTTTATTGCCACTATTCATTAAATTTAGTATAGCTGTTATGGTGGCGCTGTTATGGTTCAACAAGTAAGGGTGTTGTGGCATTACACATTAATATCTTTTCTTCCCCTTTTCACTTTTTAGTTCAAAGAAGTTGCTCTGTGCACCTCAAGGGTATATCTACACTACACGCCAAAATTAAATTAATTGTGAGGCTGAAGTCGGAGTAGCTTAACTCAGCTTTTGGTGCTGTCTACACTGCTGGGAGTCACAGGAAGAACATTCTTCCTTTGACTTCCCTTACTCCTTGTGAAAACAAGGTAACTGGCATCGACCAGAGTGCCCCTCTCACTTCGAATTAGCGGTCTTAACTAGACTGTTCATTTGAATGCTATAAGATTGACAGGGGCAGCTTCAATCTTCCTCTGTGGTGTAGATGTGCCCTAAGAGTTTAATCCGGAGAAGTGAGGCACCACTCTTATAGGTGATAAGAGCTGACTCTGCTCAGCATCTTGCAGAATTTTGTCCTAGTCGATAGCTTTTCTACAGCAATAAGAAAGAATCCAAGAAATTGAAAGCTAATCAGTATCACAAAGTAACCTCCTGTCACAAGATGTTAGGCCATAGAATACCAATTTGAAACCAAACACCTTTTTATTTCTGCTTGTAGCACTTAGCCCACCAGAGACATTACTAGTATATCTGAATACCTTGTCCTAGAATAATATGTCTCCCTATCGTTCTTAGCTTCCAATTGCCAATGTCCATAGGAAGGATGATCATTGTTAAAATGAATGAAATGCCTGGGTTATCAGAGGAGTTTAGGAAAATGGTTTCCAAATAAATTGTAACGAAATTGGAAGTGAAAGTTCACCAAAACATCCATGAAAGTACACTTTTATTTTCCTGGTCATCCATCTGTTGTCATGAAATTATGGATGACATTGGCTATCCAATAGCCACTCATTTGCAGTGATTTCAGGTGCTTTATGATACTTTTGATGAAGGTTTTCCAGTTCATGTCCTGTAGCATGGTGTTCTTCTAGAACTGTGTTTGGTTTAAATTATCACCTTTCTTCTCAAGGGCATCATTAATGCAGAAATAGATGAATGCCAAAGCAATTACTTTAATAAAATATTTCACACAGCCTTGTGCACTCAAATGTGTTTAAATAAAAGATGGGAGCTAGGTTGCTATATTGCTAAGTTGTTGCCAGGACTTCTCAAAATTCAACATTGCAATGGGCAACCTAGGCTAGTGAGTGAGCCGCATGAGTGGCCCTCCTTCTTCTCAGTGTGCCACAAGATTGTCATAATCACTACAGGCTCCTGGGACAGTGTAGTTTTGCTAACTGAGCTTACATTCCTAGAATTTTCATTGTGCGCCAATTGGACAGTAGTTGTGCCTTGATTGGCAGTAGAAGGAGCACGCAGCTCTCATAGTCAATGTTATGTGCAATCAGCACATACTTCACTTTATGTGCCCTTGCTTTACAAACATGTCACTTTAGCAATACTGGTAGGAAAAACTGTATGGATAGAAACCAGCAAAATCTGGCAACCTGGGAAATGGCAAACAAAATGTCTAGTGGACTATACACAGAATCTTGATGAGATGCATGTGGCCCTCAAGCCACAGAATGTCCATCACGGCACAATACACTGCCATGTCAGCAGCAGGCGTTAGCTGTGTCCTAGGATACAATTTTGGAACCTAGCATTCTGTGGTACAGGCAAAATCTTTACCAACTAAGTCTCATTGACATAATGAATTAAACCCTTTCACAATGTAAAATATTGAAGTTATTTTACAGTCCAAGGAGCATTAAATGTATAGAACAAGTAGCTTGTACTGTAGTCTATTTGTGGTATGTCCATACTTTAGAAACAGAAGATAACATCATTGTCATTATCTTAGATTTTTATAAACAGTGTTTATAAATAACATTATGTGGGGTCTCTGGCTGCACTGGGAACTTTCCCACAACATTACACAATGCATTTTAAATGCCATAATACATGTGGTCTATATAAGAGAACGATTGTCAATGTAGATAACAAACCAGATAATTTTTTAAAATACTTCCTCAGTTTTTCATGTATGTAAAATTGATTCCTCTTAATTCTTCTACTCCTGTCAATAATGTCCGTCTCACCAAAAAACAGAGAAATAACCGACTATCTACCCAGGTGTATTCATAGGGAGACCAGAGAAGCTGACTAGATACCAAAGACAGCTGGCTAATAGAGCTTAATTAGTGCAGTGGGTGGATATTCTGCACTCTTTAGCAAAGACTTCTATTTTCTTTACTGTTGTCTTAACCCTACTGCTTGCTTTATTCACAAAGAGTGAAGCTGAATACAGGCT